TTCCTGGAGACACATTTTGCTAGTGATTTTTCCCAAGACCGACATGATTTCTCTTTTCAAGCTATCTAATGTCTCATCTTTTGTTTTTCCTCAGAAAGGACACCAGAAATAGTTAAATACCTGAAATCACTATTGACTGACTATAACTATAAGCAGTGCCAGAAATCAGAGAGAGAAATAGCCCTTTCTACTGGGAGACGCCATTTTAATGAATCTGAGAGAGAGCATCAGATAGGAGCAAGAGAAAATCTGTCAGTTTTTGGGAAGGCAAGATGACAGTTCTGAAGTACAGTGGGTGACATCCCTTCTCCCAAACCCCAGAAAAAAATTAGGAAAACAGGGCTTGGCCCAAAATAGCTGTGTCTCTTTGAAGGCTCGGCTGCAATTTGAAGCTCCTATCTTCTGGAAGGAAATGTGCTTTCCAGCCTCCCATGGACAAGGAAAATGCAGCTATCTCATTTCTCTCTCTATCTCTATTGACATCTATTTATTCCGTATGCCCTCACACATATACACATGAGCACAAATGCCTTATTCTCTTGGTGTATGTTTATACCACTTAGAAAAAATAAAAATGAAGAGTTAGCTGGTTTCTAAGTTGTATTTCCTTTTAAGCTATAATATATCATACTCACATATAGCATATGCTAAAATAGAAATGTATCTATTTCAGTAACACATAATAAAAAGATACATGCAGCAGATAATGGAGAGATATGTAAGAGATATACATACATGGACCACATAATGAAAGATATGTGTATAATATAATGAAAAAATAAGATACACAGATGTAGCATATAATGAAGACATATAAATATATAATACATATATATATATATATATATATACTCTTACATAGCCTATAGTGAAAAGGATAGATAAGATGTACATACATACATTTGCAGGATATAAATATACATATTGTGTTTATATACATATATAGATACAATAGATATTTACAAGGTAGCATATAATAGATAGCTAAGATACATATACACATAAGTAGGATATAATGAAAAAATATATACACAAATGTAGGTTATAATAATAAGATATATGACACACAGTGTAAAATTGAGATAAAGAAGACAGACACAGCATAAAATTTAAAAAACGATATCTGCATATGCAGGCTTTGTTGACACTGTACACAACATATGTGTGCACATGTGGAGTATAATGCATATATGTGATAAATGCTCCCAAGGAGTAGAAAATATGTAGCTAGAGAAGATACATCTATGTCTATACAAATACATAGGCATGTGCGATAGAGTGAAAAGATACAAACTCTATGCACATGTTTCGCAGAATGAAGAGATAGGATACACATGTAATATATAACGAAGACATATAATGTCCACAGTCACAGGTAGGCTACAGTGAAGAGATACATGGAAAATACACACACATATAATGTGTGACATATAATGAAGAGGGAAGCTGAAATTTTGTCTTAGATTTCAGATTATCCTTTGCCCACTGGAAGTTTCTAATTTGGACTTTTATTTTTCCATTGTGGAGCTGGCAGCCACCAGTCCCGAGACAAAAGAACCATCAATCCCAGGCCTGAGTGTGTTTTAGAACACTCTACAAATTGACATGTTTTTGATCACGAAAGAAGCAATGTCATGTTTTTTCGCCACTCTTTCTTATGACGATTTTTGCAGGCAGAGGAGGGGGCTGCTCACTGAACCCAGCCCCTGAGCTCTCCTTCTTCTTCTCAGATCCACTTGTCTGCTTGCCAGGGCACACATTTGTGTCGCTAGCACTTAAATGCCAAGTTTGCTACAAACCATTATTGCTAAAAATGGAGTGGACGAAGCAGATGCTTGGGAGAAATGCTTCACTGTGTTTTGAAGGAAACACAGTCCCACATTTATGGAGCCTTTTTGCAATCTGAGACACTTTAAAATTCTGAGTTGTTTTTGCTGCTTTGCTGGGTATGTGCTTTGGTTTTACCTTCTTCCCACATTTTTTTTAAATACATGTATATCCACATGCATCCATCTAGCTCTCTGGGAAATTGATGCCCAGAAGTCTTGGAATTATAAATTCCAAGAGTTCACTTCTTATTAATGATTAGGTGGGGCAAAATGGAATTTCCAATGTACAAAATTACTTGGACCTGAAAGCAAAAACTTATCTGATGGTCAGCAAAATAATAATAATCATAAACATTAAACTTGTTCCTAGATTTTGTCCCCCCACTTTCAGATTATCTGTCTGTGTCTGCCTATCTATCTACCGATCCATCTATCTATCTATCTATCTATCTATCTATCTATCTATCTATCTATCTATCTATCTATCTATCTATCTATCTATCTATCCAGGCATAGTATGCTTTTGGAAAACATTTACTGGGGGCATTGGAGCAGCTGTCTTCCCAAGGGCACCATCTCTGTAGGCACTAAGCTTAGGGGGCCCACTTTGTCCACCCTGAGAGCAAATACAGAGTCGGAGGCATTTGACCAGGGTGAAAAACATGTTTTCTCTTGACTATGAAAATAAAGTTTTAAAAGTTCCCCACCTAACCTAAATTGTCCAACGAGGTTCGTCCTTCCCCATTTGTTTTCCTTACTTTTTTAACAATAATGTACTGTACCTTAAATGCTATAATATAGGTTTGTGTGTGGAAGAAATCTCCGACATGGCTGAGAAGATAAACTGAGGTCACTCTGAAACACATGATCTTGATTTTGTAAGGGGGGAGTAGAGGAGAAAACAGGTCACTTTCCTTGACCTCTGTAGCCAGTTTTTACAAAGTGTCTTTCCCTGAAAAGTAGCATGTACTACTATAAAATTCAACTAGCCTAGAATGTCACACATTTTTACCAAAGTGTATGACATACTCTGAATAAAATTAGACCAGGGAAAAAGAAAAAAAAAATTTTTGGTGGGGGAAGGGTGGATGGGTAGCAGGAAGTCCCTTGCTGAGATTTCCATTAAGCAGATTTTGTGATAAAGGGGAAGAAAATAACTCACCCCCAAGATCTAAACACACTGGAATATCACAACTCTTTTGAGCAGTATTTGGAAAGATTTGACCTCATCCCTTGAGAGCTACCCTCCCAAAGGCAAAGACAGGCCATTCACAGCTATTTGGGATCCAGTGACGCAAAGTAAATATTTTAATATTTTTTAAAAAATTACTTTTAAAAATCTTTTTGCTATCACTAATGACAATATATTTTAATTTAAATATTATAATAAAATGATAACAGAAAATGGAGAGGGAAAAAAAGCACTGACTACTACTCATCTGGAATTACCTGACTGGTATCAATTATTTCTGAATAAAGCTGAATTTGACTTCCCAATTTGCACTCATAATTACATGGAAATCCCCACCAGATCCAGAAGAGAAAAAAAAAAAAAGCTACATTCCCAAGGACAGCCTTCTGCTTAGTTCCAAATAAAAACTGAAGGGAACGGCCAGCATTCAAATGCCTTCTTCCGAGGAGGGGGAAATCATCCTCCAGCAATAAATAAAGGTTAGCAAGAAGATCATGGAGACCCAGAGATTTCAGGTGAAAGTTACAAGGCAGAGAACTGGTGATGAGTCCCCAGCTTTAGCAGGAATGGAGTTATTAAGCTTGTACTGGTGCTAACAGCCTAGAGAGGTGAGTATTCTTTGGGGATGGAAGAAAAGTCGCTTGTACTTTGTAGGGCAAAAAGAACGAGCTATCTCCCCGGTGCCTTCTCTCTCTCTCTCTCTTTCTCTCTCTCTGTACACACACATGCGAAAGGTCAATGTTTTACATCTCAGATTTAAACCAGAAGATTGAGCATATTAATTTCTATGAGCTAAGGTGCTTAAGAAATTGATTTAAAATTAATTCAAAAGGAGTTTTTGGTTGCAATGCATTTTCCTTATAATTATATCTTATAAAGAGCAGGCATTTTCTGTATCTGCAATGGGGCATGTGTGAACGAGCCAGGTGCCCATGTATTTTTGTAATTAGTTACTAAGGTGTTTATTAATTGACTTGATCTTCGACTAGTTACTTCTCATGCTCTGTCATTTCGAAGGTAGGGGAGGAAGGGAAGCATAGAACTAAGAAAATCCAGTCGCAGCGGGGAGGCTCATTCTCCGTCCTTTTTTTTTATGTGGTTATGTTTCTTTTTTTTTTTTTTCTTTTTTCTTTCATTTCCTTTTCTGGTTTTTGAGACGGGGGAGGGGAGGGGGGGAGTGGAGCACTGAGGAATCGGGCTCTTACACCCAGACACACAACAGCAAGCTCCCTGAGAATGTCTGAGGTCCTCGACCTTCCTCTAATATTGGAAAGCCACAAAGTGGCTTTAATATATTTGTCAGGAGGTAGACCAGACGAGACATATTTGGGTTACGGAGGTGGGGGGGCGGCGGATATTTAGGCTGTTCTGATGCTCGTTAGGGGTTGGATTCCTTTTCACAGTTAAGATTGTTTGGGAAAAAAGGAGGCTGCCGGAGCCTCTACTCTCTCTCTCTCTCTCTCTCTCCCCCCCCCCCCCCCCCCCCCCCCCTCTCTCCCCCTCTCTCCCTCTCTCTCTCTCTCCCTGTGTGTGTGTTTGTGTGTGTGTATAGACTCAGGATGAAGCAAGCCTGGGCTCTTTGGGTGGACAGCCACGTTGGCCGGGCCAGTCTCTTTAGCCCTTGTCTAATCCTTTGAATTTCAATTGAGTAAAAATAGATAAAAATTGTGCAGGACCACGGAAGAAGGGAGTTTTCATCAAGCTTTTTGCTTTTTGTGAGGAAATAGAAACTGGACCGTGGAGGAAGATGGAATGGCTGCTGTCGTTTTCATTAGAGAGGAATGAATGCTTTTTTGGGGGGCGTGGAGGGTGGGTTGTTCTTGTGAGTGTGCCTGTGTGTGCGTTTAAGGTAGGGCTGAGCAGCACTGGCTGATATCCTTTTTCTCATCTTCCTATCGAGGGTCCTTAGCTCTGGCAGCTCCAATAAACAGCTATCCTAGGAAACTTTTTCTTCCACAGACAAGCTCAGGTATTCAGAATTTGGGCATTCATTCATTTATTACATATATATGTATATACATATAAACAATATTTGAGAAATGAACGCGTGCCTGAATTTCAGGGAAAGCTTTTACCTGTGTGTGTGCAGAGGAGCAGGACTGTTTGAACAGAAGGAAGCAAAAAAGAGTGCCTTTTACTACCCTGCATTTTCAAGTCAAACATTGGGCAACACAGCAAGATCCCCTAGAGGAGCTTTGGGGACATCGAGGGAAGAGGGAAAGGAGCTCTGCGATTGTCTGGGACTCTGGGGCCCCTTCAACCTTTCCCTTCTCATGTGGCCTCATTCCCCTCTATAAATATTGCATAGCAAAGGGGAAAAACCCAACCGAACCCAACCAGCAGCCTGCCACACAGCCTTTGGTCCGTAGCAGTGGAGTAGAAGCTATCCTTTTGGGCTGATATCTGTACAGAGCACAGCGTGCCTTCTCTCCTCCACGGGATCAAGCTGAGAAATCAGGCCACTGGCAGAACAAGTAAGAGGACACCCGAACCCGTCCTGAAATGGAAGAGGACAGACACCCCTCAGTGTGGGAGGGGGCTGGGGGGAGGAGCCGAGAGACACTCAGCCTGAGACACTGAGGGCAGAGAGACATGCGGGTGCGTGAGGGTCCTCGTCTTTGTACTGTCTGTGGGGCTAATCCACTGTTTAATGAAGTTTCCCAGGAAGGAGAGGGCTGGCAGCAACTTTTGAATTTACCAATGACATAAAAAGTATATATATTTTTCTTCCAATGGGCAGGTTTCAATTGGTAGACAAGAATGGTGAGATGTGACGTGGAAGGGTACTGGATGGAAGGAACGCTGATGTGTGCTGGGGCCAAGTACCAGAAACTCTGTTGCTATGAGAGAGGAGGGTGTAGTGGAGGGAAGGGGGGGCAAACTAGAGGAAGCTTGAAGTTCTGTTCTGCCTTCTGAAAAAGGCAGCAGCTGCCCCAAGCTTGGAGCACTTAGGACGGGGGCAGTCATTAGGCTGGGAGAGACAGAGAGACAGAGAGACAGACAGACAGAGAGAGAGAGAGAGAGAGAGAGAGAGAGAGAGAGAGAGAGAGAGAGAGATATGCAACCCAGCCCCAGTTCTCCGACAGTTGAAATGAAAAAGCCGTGCTGCAGGTCACCAAGCATTAGGCCAGACTGCCAGTGTGGCTCCTAACACACAGTCCCTCCTTCCTCCTTGCACTGGGACAGCTCTCAGGGCCCGAGCCTCTGAGGACACCCCGGGCTCAGGCCGTCCAATCAGGCACTCTCTCTCCCCGCTCTCTAGGTCAGATCTCTGCCCAGTGCCGAAACGATTGTAAACCTCAGTAATGATGGGGATGGGGATGGGGTGGTGGGCATGATAATCACAGTTCCCCACCTTTCCAGTTGTCCGGCTGGGACTTCTGTCTCTTGGGTAAAGTTGGGTCAAATTCGTAAATGGGTCCAGTCCATCAGTATGGACTTCAAGCTTTCTCCGTCGGAAAGGAAAAAAACGAGACGTGTTTGGAGAGGAGAAAAGTCATCTTCAGGATCTGAGCTTGGTTTTTTGGTGGGTGTTTTTTGTTCTCTCGGGCTTGGGCACAAAACAGCCGAGGCTGCTGCAAAGCGCTGGGCCTGGCAGCGGTTGCGCCCAGGCGGCGGCTGGGATGGGGGAGGTACGGAGGGGGGAGGCTGGGGACAGGGTTGGGGGAGGCGGCCGGTGCCAGGAAGTTGGCTTTACAAAGCCCTACAGTGAGCTGCCAAAAAGCGCAACGTGGGGTTTGGGGAAAAGGAGATTGGGGGTGGGGGTGCCTTGTGCTCCGCCTCCCCTCCCCGGTCAGCAAGGCCAAGTGTAACCGGTCGCCGGGTCCCCTCCAGGACGGGGTGGAGAGCCCGAAGGAGGCCGGCAGCCCGTCTGTCAGTCACGGCGTCCCCTGGAGCAGCAGCGGCGGCCCGGCGGGGGGGCCCGGGGGGGGGGGGGGGGGGGGGGGGAGGGAGGGGGGATGGGGAGCCGGCAGAACCCGGGGAAGCGAGGGCGGGGCGCGCGTGCGCGCACACGACGGGGCGCGCTCGGACTCCCCCGGCCTGGAGCCGCGAGATGGACGAGTTCGGTCCGGCCAAGGTCAAGTCCTCGGACGCCCCTCCCCCCGGGAGGGTCTGGCTCAGCCTAGGAGTCCCAGCCCCGAGTCTGTGGACGCGCGCGCTCCCGAGTGCCCCGCGGGCACGGCGGCGGGGGCGCGCACCCCAGCTTCGGCTCCTGCGACTCAGGGTGGATGGGGAGGGGGTGCCGCTGGAGGAGCAGAGCTTGTGTACGGGGGCCTGGGCCTTCAGGCCTTGGGGGGGAGGCTGCCCAGAGGCGGCGGGGGGGGGGGCAGCCTGGGCTGCGTGGGGCTCTGCGCGCGCGCGCCTCCTACGGCGCGTCCCCGCCGCCGCCACGCAAGCCTGGGCCCCCTCCCCCCTCGGTGGGCAGCACCTCTCCCCCCCCTCCCCTTCTCCGGGCCTCTCCCCTCCTCTCTCCCATTCTTCTTTCTTTCTCCCTCCCATTCTCTTGCAGCTCTGGCCGCCCTTCTCCCCCTCCCCTTGCCCCCTCCCTGCCAGCCTCGCCCGGCCCTGAGATGGCTCCTCCCCGCCCCGCATGCCAGCCCAGTCCGCAGCCCGCAGCCCCCCACTTTCCCCTCACCCAGCCCGCAAGTGTACAGCCTGGGCTAGCCACCTCCCCCCAGAGCGGCCTGAGCCCGGGCGAGGAAGGCGCGTGGTGCCCGGGTTTGTCTGCCGAGCCCACCGCGGGCGCTGCGCCCAGAGGCTCCTGGGCTCGATGGCTGAGGTGGGGGTCATTAAAGTGGTGCTCCCTGCCTTCCCCTTGCCCCCATTTAGTGAAATGGCCTAGAATGGAAGGCGACCGCACTGCTGGGCACTGCTCTGGGCCGCGAGGTCTCGGGCAGCCTTACGGGGCGTGTGGTTAAACCTCCCTCTTTTCTATTTTTGGCGGGGTCTTTTATTGTCTCGGGTGTGCCCGCGACCAAAGTCGGCCTTATTTTACCAGTGGGTGAAGCCACTCTTCTCGCCAGCTCGCCCCTATTCTCCGCTCCCTTCTTCTCTCCTTCCTTTGGGCCGGGCTGGGCCGAGCTGACCCCCACCCGCCGAGCCTCCTCCGGGGCCCAGAAGCCCGCCCGCCTGCCCGCCTGCCTGCTGGCGCCGCTCCCCGTATCTGGGACAGGTGCCAGCTCCGAGAGACAAAAGACAGAAAGGGGGCGGTCACGGCCAGGACCAAACGGGCCGGGCCTGTGGCGGGGGGGGGGGGGGGGGGGGAAGGGTAGGAGAAGGAAGAGGAGAAAGAGGAGGCCGGGCCAGAACGCTACAGGCCAGAGCGGGGCCGGACTGGGCCGGGCCGGGCTGCGAACCGCTTGCAGCGCCCAGGCTGGGGCCCCATAGGAGACCTCGGGATGCCTCCTTCTCTCGAACTTGGTTTCAAGCTAGAGACTGGAAGAAAGTTTTAACGATACTTTAAAAAAAAAAAAAAAGCAGCAGCCCTCCTCCTCCTCCTCCTCTTCCTCCTCCTCCTCTTCCTCCTCCTCCTCTTCCTCCTCCTCCTCTTCTTCCAACCCCACCCCACCCCGCCCGTCGGATCGGCCCTCCCCATCTGTCTCTCTGTAGGCATGTGAAAGGTCTAGGGGGGCTCTCCTGTCCTTCCCCTTCCTCCTCCTCCTCCTCCTTCCTCTCTCTCTCTCTCTCTCTCTCTCTCTCTCTCTCTCTCTCTCTC